CGACCCATGACCTCGAACTGGGAGCCGTGGTCTTTGCTCTAAAAATTTGGAGGCACTACCTGTACGGTACAAAGTGCACCATCTTCACAGACCACAAGAGCCTCCAGCACATTTTGAATCAAAAGGAGCTGAACATGAGACAGCGAAGATGGGTGGAATTACTAAACGACTACGAATGCGAGATCAAGTACCATCCAGGTGAGGCCAACGTGGTAGCTGATGCATTAAGTCAGAAGGAGTACACAAATCGCCATACGAAAATGCACTCAATAACCATTCAATCTCATCTGGCCACTCAAATTGCATCAGTCCAGCCGGAGGCTATGAAAGCGGAAAATAGAATTAGCGAGGCGTTGCGCGGGATGGAAAAGAACCTAGAAGCAAGAGAGAATGGGGTATACTACTTCCTGAACCGTATTTGGGTCCCAAAAATTGGAGGATTTAGGGAGACCGTTATGAAGGAAGCCCACAAGACACGGTACTCCATTCATCCTGGATCGGACAAGTTGTATTTGGATATCAAACAACATTATCGGTGGCCTAACATGAAGGCGGAAATCGCGACCTACGTCAGTAAGTGCCTTACATGCGCCAAAGTAAAGGTGGAATACCAGAAACCTTCAGGATTGTTGCAGCAACCAGAAATTCCCGAGTGGAAATGGGAGGGGATTTCTATGGACTTCGTGACCAAGCTGCCCAAGACGTCGGACGGACTGGACACCATATGGGTAATAATCGACCGACTGACGAAATCTGCCCATTTCTTACCAATCAAAGAGTCCTACAAGATGGAGAGACTGACGCGTTTGTACCTACGAGAGATCGTAAGACTCCATGGAGTGCCAAAATCTATCATCTCGGATAGGGACAGTAGATTCACGTCGCGCTTTTGGCAATCACTCCACAAGGCAATGGGTACTCATCTCGATATGAGCACCGCATACCACCCACAAACGGACGGTCAAAGTGAACGAACCATTCAAACGCTTGAAGACATGCTTCGTGCATGTGCGATAGACTTTGGAAAGTCTTGGGATACCCACCTACCGTTGATCGAGTTTTCATATAACAATAGTTACCATTCGAGCATCAAGGTGGCTCCTTTCGAAGCACTGTACGGCGTAAATGTAGATCACCGTTATGTTGGGCGGAAGTAGGTGACACCCAGTTGACAAAAACGCATACGTCAAACAGGGCATTAACGGGACCGGAAATCATTCGCGAGACCACAGAAAAGATTGTACAGATCAAAGCTCGATTACAAGCATCGCGTGACCGGTAAAAGAGCTACGCCGATAAACGGCAAAAGCCCTTAGAATTCCAGGTCGGTGATCGAGTATTGTTGAAGGTCTCACCCAGGAAAGGGGTTATACGTTTCGGAAAACGGGGAAAGCTGAACCCGCGATACATTGGACCTTTCGAAATCGTCGCCCGAATAGGCCCGGTAGCCTACAGACTACAACTACCCGCGGAGCTAAACAGTGTACACCCCGTGTTCCATGTCTCAAACCTAAAGAAGTGCCTATCAGACGAAACCCTTGTCATTCCTCTTGACGAAATCGAAATCAATGAGAATCTCCTGTTCGTCGAAGAACCAGTCGAAATCATGGACAGGGAGGTGAAGCGTACTAAACAGAGCCGCATCCCGATCGTGAAAGTACGGTGGAACGCAAAGCGTGGGCCAGAATTCACTTGGGAACGCGAAGACCAAATGAAGCAAAAGTACCCTCACCTATTCTAACATTCTCAAATCTAGCTTTCAAACAGAATTTCGGGACGAAATTCCCTCTAACGGGGGATGATGTCACAACTGGAAATTTTGTGTCATGTAATCTATACATTCAAGCTAATGTGAATCAAAACTTCAATCAAATACATCATACAAGTACTACAAATAGTCATCAAACAATTGGAAACCCAAGAAGTCCTTGTTTAAGTCCATGTTGGATTAGGACTCCCATATTGGATCCACGTGGACCAATAAGCTTCCAATTTGGCTATCAAGGGCTTAGAACCCTAATTGGACTCTAATTGGACCCACACTAGTTTATTTCAACATTTTGGGCCATGTTGGGCCTAGAATGAAATGAATTAAAAGCTTTGCTCCATGAATAACCTAAACTAGTCCAACAAAAATGTAAAAATCCTACCACATTCTTTTAGGTATAAAACACACCCTAACTAACTCTAATGTTGGGCTTAGGGGCAAAGGCCCAAATTTTTCCTTTTCTTGCCAAATTCTCGGCCCAAATGCACAAGCCCAAGAAGATGAAAGAGTTGACTTATTGTGCCACATCATTATTATCCAAAGGACTTCCATGCAAAATATCTCACATACCTCCATGCACATCACTTCAAAATCACTTCTCTTCTCTCCTCCCTCTCCCTCTCGGCCGAAACACACACACACACATTCACAAATCTCTCACAAATTCTCTCTAGATCACTCAAGAACTCTCCTTCCTCTCCACTCAAAAATCTCGAGTTTTAGGAGGCATTCAAGAGGAAATTTCCACAAAATTCTCCATCTAAGGTAAGAGTTGCTTGGATCTATGAACTAAATTCTTTGTTTTATCAAAATCCCTTCCTAATCTATGCAAAAATCGTGATTTTGCACCCTAGAACCATCTCAAACTCGAGATCTACCAAGGAAGGGGGTTAAGGCCAAAAACACTTCATTTTCCTTCCATTTTCTTTGCAAAACCGAGCCCCCACACCCAAGGTGAGCTTCATACCCCCTATTTTCTGTTTTTATGAGTTTTGTGGGGGGGGGGGGGAATACAAGTGAAAGTGTAGATCTATATGTGTTTATATGCCTTGTATGATTTCCATGCTTATATGTATGCTTTTATGTGCTTTAATGTTGGATCTAGCCATAAAACTCCTCAAAACCGAGATATAACTTATGTTATATGATTTTAGCATCAAATGTATTTCTACATACAAAGTGTTTCAAGAAAAATAGCTAAGTGGTTTAGTGACAATTTTCTTTAAGCTAAAAACACAAATTTTGGGCCTAACATGTGAAAAATACAAAATTAAGGGCCCAAATTGACATTTCACGAATTCTGATGGATGAAGTGTGTCAAAACAGTTTCAATAAAACAATTTCTGGAATTATACTCATTTAGAAGGTTAAAAACATAAATTTCAAGCTTAATGGGCTAAAAATGACAATTTCGGCCCAATGAGGCCCATTATGCGAATTTTTCTGTTTTGGAGGGCCAAAACTGTGATTTTCTGTAAAACAGTGGACCATAAGTGATCCAAGTCCTTTTTAAAGGTTTAAAATGCTTTTTAAATTTAAAAAGGACCAAAGTTGCAAAAATTTTACAATTTGGGCCAAAATTGTCAAAATTGCGAAAAGAAGGGTTATAACCGAGAAAAACTGAAATTTCAGGGACTTAAGCTGTTTTCTATGAAAAATATGCTGGAAAATATTTATTTTAATAATTTTTGGTGTTAAAATGTCAAGAAAATTGATTTAAGGACCAAACCGGAAAGTATTTTAAATAAAGGGTTGAAAAAGTAAATTTTACAAACAAGGAGGGGCTGAAAACAGAAAATTTCCAAGACTAATTCAATACATGCAATTTGACCAAATAATGGTACTACGACTATCGACAAAATACAATACATTACAACACCAAAAGTCGTTGTTAAACGAATTGGTTCGGTCTCGAACTAATAAAAATCCGAAACCACTAACACGACGACACTATGATAATTCAATACTACGATTCATACAACTAACGATTGGGAATTCATTATACATGCAAATGTGCACAGACGTCTACGCACTATCTTTGGGCCCCACAAGTGTAAAATCTTGTTCGTTGAGCCTAGCTAGCCCGACGACCTGATCTTAAGGCCCAAAGACTTCATCTTACGAAGTGTTGGGTTTTACCAATCCGACACGACGTAACCGGACTTTCAATGGCTTGTAGACTACTGGTCCCCAAGGGTCCTTTAGTGTCGCTAGTAGAGTCTGCCTTTTTGCGAGGCGGGTCTGGGACCCCTCGTACCTTTTTATCCCCAACCGGCTAATGGAGTCGTCGAGGCCTTCGTGTCCTCCTTCTCTTCGGATGTGGGACTACACGTAGTCAGGACGGTTGGATAACGTGATTAGTACGGACGACGCCTACGGGATCGTTAGTATTGCTATAGACTAGTCGTTTGTGTAACGCGTGTTTGTAGCAGATAATCATGCTAAAAAATAATCCAATGTCGTCTGGTAATGATAACTTCATGCGTTGCAATGGTTTCAAAGTAAATTCATGGAATTCAAAGAATTAGGAAAACATCGGGTTTTCCTGGGGTTTTCAATACATACAGATTCAAAATACATACGATTTCAATAAACAATTTTTACAAGTATAGAAAACAAACAAGCATACCTATAGATCTTCACACCTTTTTGACTATACTATTTTCAGAAAATATCGGATTTTCTGGCGGTTTTCAAACGACACGAAACATTGTTTTTCAAATACAACTTATGAACTCACCAACATTTCATATGTTGACGTTTTTCAAAATACTTGTATTCTCAGGAAACCAGTGAATCAAAGGAAATCGTATTCAGTGATGGCTCGCAGTTTATTTATGTACGAATCGAACAGTTTATTTTGGAAATGTAATGTTTAAACAATGTACTTCATGTAAACTTTACTGGTTGTACAATATTAATGCATGGTGACGAATGTTGTTACGTTTCATATATATATACAATGTTATGGTATTCAATTGAGTCACGACAGCCCCCGAACGTTTCCGCCGCCTGGTTTGGGGGTGTGACAAACATTCACCTCAATGTCTGTACTTGAATACAAGAACAATTCTTCTGTGTCGCTTTCCATACAATTTGCTCTGTTTCCAATTTTCTCAACACTCTGAATTAAAATGGTCATTAATTGAAACTATATAGCTTTTACTGTGTTATAACTTAGAAATGGAGTAACATTAATGGTGAAAGTAAGTTGTTACCTCTTCTCCAGAGACTAAAGTACAGGAGCTGGTTTTCCGATTTCTCTCCCTTCTGTTATAATGGCTGCGACCTTTCATATTTCAGTATCAAGTAAACCAGAGTTATATTCTTGATGAAGAAATCATTAACAGCAAGATACTATAAGTTTATGCAAAAAGTAAAGATTATGATTTGTAATACCTGTAACATTAGTGTACTCTTCCCGACACCTGGATCACCACCAATCAAAATCAAAGAACCAGGTACCAGACCACCACCCAGAACCCTAGAAACTTCGTACTCAAATAGTCCAAGCCTGAATATAAACAACTCATATAATGCAGCTCAAAAAAACAAACAAAACGTTAAAAAATCAAACTTACCCCAAAATTGGGTTTTTTTATTGAAAGATAAAGATGATTCGAATGAAATTAAAAAAAAAAAAAATTGAAGAAATCCCAGTAATATGCAACACAAAAAATTAAGAACCCTAACCTTAAACTCGTACCAAACGAGTTCAGGATGTCGGTGATGGGAAGGAAGAAAAGGACGTTGGCAAGGAGAAAGAAGGTCTGACGCCGGCGAGGGTGGAGGAAGCAGTGGCGACGGTGGCGAGGAGAAGGAAGATCGACCACAGCAACGGAAAGGGAGCCAATGATGTCTTTGACCAGATTATCTGAAGAGCTTGTATCTTCGTGGAAAATAAAGCGATTAACAGGTAAAATTCCAGGAAATATGCGAAGATCGAGCAAGAACAAACTCAGTAATCAAGTAAAAACAAAAGAACTCACTAATTGGGAAAGAGATACATCTTGAAGCTCTTACCATATGAAGATATAGAAAAGATGATTGAAGGAGGTCGATTTTGCAGAGTTATAAGATCACTTGTGGTAGGGAGGCAATGAATGGATGAAACAAGCCCTAACAAATCCAGAACCGAGTAGCATGTGGTGATGATTGAGCGTAGCCATGATTTGAGGTTCAGGAGTGGTGCTTCTAGACAAAGAACCACCGAGTGTAGATGCATAAGTAAGAGAAGCCGATGACATCGCGTGAGCATGGTTTGGGCTCGAAACATAAAGCTTACATGGAAACTAGATCTTGGTGAAGACCAAAATATGCAAATAAATAGTGTGTTCGTCGCCCCTTACGTATTTTGAACCAGGCGAGAGGGATGAGATGGAAATACGAGAGTGAGATAGAAAAAATTAGGGTCGGATTTAGGAACCCTAAATCATCGGCTCAAATTGATAACTGGGAGGTAAGAACCCTAAATCCTCAGCTCATTATGGTTGAATTAAGAGTGTAAGAACTTGTTGGAACCGAGAAGGAGGTTTTTGGTGGAGGTGATGGATCGAGGAATTGAGGAAGCTGTGGATGAAGACGAAGTCCCAAATTCGAAGAGGCAGAGAATTTTTGGGATGAATAGGCGGTGGTTAATTTTTTGGATTTCATTTTCCCCCCTAAAAACGCGTGTTTCCTAAAAAAATATAAAGCAACACAGTTACACGACGCACATTTTTTGATAGGTGCCCTCCGTATTTTTTTTCTGACACTAATTTTAGGGGCACGCAAAAATGCGTGTTATCTATCCTTCAAATTTTAGAAAACTAACATTAATTTTTAGGGCACGCACAAATGCCTATCCTCTATCAGTGTGTGTCATTAATATTAATTGCACGTCGTAAAAGGCTATTTTTCTAGTAGTGCTCACTGATAGGTTTAGCCGCAAAACACTTATTTTCACTCAGGTTTGGTTCCTCGTCTGCACTTTCGGTTGATCATCCAGCAGTGACCATTAAGCACTTTCTGGCCAAACCTAATTTTCGTTTTCTTAGAAAATTTTCCACAACCAAACGCAACCTTACCTTCCTGAGTGTATCGGCTTGCAATGAATCATTTTAAAAGAAGGGTTTACATTGTCTAAATTATCTTCTTTCATTTCAAAGCCAACATATAAATTCTCTTCTTTCTTCTGGAAAATATCTTTTAATGATCAAATTATCATTTAGCTTTTGTCACTTGTAACTGATAACAGGATATGGAGTAGCTAAAGTTGTAGAATTTGGGCATTCAAACTTCTAGAATGGTGACCTAGTTTGGGGATTCACCGGATGGAAAGAATACAACATTATCACTGCTCCTGATACCCTATTCAAGACTCAACATACCGATGTCCCTTTTTCCTATTATACAGGAATCTTTGGTATGTTTTCTGTTTAATTTATGATCTTTAGGATTCTGTAAATTAGGGATTTTGAATTCTGTAAAATGATTTTGTTTCTTTGATGGTTTTTCCAAGGTATGCCTGGTATGACGTTCAGTTTTTTTAATGATTATCTTAAAAGAAATTTCATTATAATATTTTTGTAGTGACTTGTGGTTTACACTTTCTCTGTAGAAATCTGACTTAAACTTGTTTTATGTTGTTTCTAGATTCCTGATGTGTGCCCACTGTTTCATGTAATGTCAACAACACTTGAGAAACTACCACCTAGTAGTATTGTTGCTAGGGCAACTGCTAGATCAATGATCATTCTTGCACACATGATTGTTGTAGCATCTGTTTCCTCGAATTCACAATAGGTGACCATAATCATCAAACTTTTTTTTTTCAAAATTAAACTTTAGTTTTCTAAAATCTCTCTTATACCAGGTGTTCCCTGAGGATCTTCTTCTTCAACTTTTGAAACTAATGTTGCATCTAGATGTTGCAATACGTTTTAGTGGACAACAAATCTTTTCTGTTCTTCTCATTCCAAATACTAACCATGTGACGCGTGATACTGATGCTTCTACTTCTAATCAAACAATAAGATGGAGTTCTGATATTGCATATGTGTTTGCCTCTATTACATCTTTACTTGATAAGCTTCATGGATATTTCTATTTATGGATATCGCCTCCAGGTGCTAGCTTCAAAGATTTTGTGTTTAATTATTTCCCACTTCATACATTGCACCCTGCTGTGTCTTGCCATTTTATGACATTTTTGCCCCTGTAGCTGTTTTGAAGGTTGTTTGGGCCTAGTTTGTTATTGATTTTACATTTGGATCTTTGTTGGGGTTATATTTCCCTATAATATTATCTAGTGGGGTTCCTGATGGCATCTCATCTGGGCTTATCTCCTATTGGGAGTTTGTAATTTTGTAGTTCTGCTTGGGGTTATTATATGGTGTTGTATTACTTGTTTTTCTCTTATTTTTCTGTTTTACCTTTTTGTAATTTGCAGCTTTTCGGTGGCCTTGGTTTTTTATTTTAATATAGTGTCGTTCATAAAAAAATGTGTTTCACTTTTTGGAGTTTGTATCTGGTACAGGTACTTGAAGGATATGGAATTTGGTGTTTTGAGTGACATGGCTGACATTCATAAAAAACTTGCTGGAAGTTACTAAAGAAACAGGTAATCATCTTAATGTGTTTTTTGTATGAGCATTTTCCCTGCAAAAATTAATGTGTTTTTTGTTTATTAGTTAAAAAGTCATAAGAAAATAATAATGTGTTTGACAGAATAGCGATGAAGCTTAGAACTGAAATCAAGAATTACATGTTTATCTGTATTAGATGAGTAGGAAAGAAAACTGAAAACAAATATTAGATCTAGTTTTGAAGGGATACTCTTACGAAGGAAGGTGTTCATATTCAATAGCTGTTGTTTATCAAAGTATGTGAATATGAAAGAAATAATTGTTAAACTTGAAATAATTCGAAGTTTGTTGCCATATATATATATATATATATATATATATATATATATATATATATATATATATATATATATATATATATATATATATATATATTATATATATATATATATATATATATATATATATATATAAAGGTTCAAATGAGAACCAAAAAAAGGTTAAGAACTGTAAGAACCTCTAATTTTAGATGTTTATAAAGGGTTTAGGGGTTAGGGTTAAGGGTTTAGGGTTTAAGGTTTAGGGTTACCCTAAACCTTTTATAAACATCTAAAGTTAGAAGTTATTACGGTTCTTAACCTTTTGTGGTTCTCATTTGAACCTCTCTCTCTCTCTCTCTCTCTCTCTCTATATATATATATATATATATATATATATATATATATATTAAAATAGATTAATTAGGCAAAGAATTAGTAAAGGTCCCGTATGTTAATAAAATGTTAATTATCATTTTGTGTATCTAACAAAATAGATTAATTAGTCAAAAATATAATAAAGATCTCGTATGTTAATAAAATGTTCATTTTTCATTTTGTATAACTAACAAAATAGATTGCTTAGTCAAAAAAAATAATGAAGCATTAAAAAATTTATATGCACTCAACTGTTGAAATCGTGTTTAGTCAAAAGTTGAAATCGTTTGTCACATAACATCTTTTTTTTTCTTTTTAAAACGTTACCATAAAATGTAAATAAACATATATGACGTGTTTGGTTTCATCAATTCCGTGAAATCTTCCAAATTTCTCGTTTGATAGATTTATCCATTGCCATGCCGAATTCATTTCATTCAGCAAAAGACCTTCATTTTGTAGACATACATACTATTAAAATAAAAAATAATAAATTCTATTATTTGTAATACACTATAAACAAAAAAAACAAAACAATTCGATATAAATACAAATTTAATAGATTTATAAACATTATCATTGAATTCCATGTCATAATTCTTCCCAACGAAATACACAATAGATTATGATGATTGCTTTAGCCTTTAGATCACAATTATTTAAATTCCATATTATTCTTTCTAAAAACATTCATAAATCAAATGTGTCATGTCATTTCAAAATTTTCAGGATCTAAGTGGACACCAAAATGGTGATATGATGGATTGGAGACGTTAAGAAGCAGAAGTTATTCCTCAGGTATAAGTTACAACTTCTTTGACCTTATATTGACTTTGACAGGTTATACACATTTTTTTTAACATACCCTTGATTTTTTATATTTTTGTTTTCCAGTATGTCCGACTATTGGAGCTTATTCTAAGTGGATTGATGTTGCACCAAATGGATTGTCTTTTTTGCCCTCTGTTGGGCATGTAAACATGCTGTAAGTTCAAGCCGATATGCTTTTTTTTTATAAGTTATATATACTTTTGTTTTGTTGCTAATTAATCAATGAAAAGAACAATTTTCCGTAAGTTATATATGTTGTAAGTTCAACCTTTCATCAATCAATGAAAAGAACAATTTTCTGATATTTATTTATTCATGATATAAATTATAATCTTATTATAATGCATATATTTGGATCTGACCCTTCTTTTGCGGAATACTTAAAAGTTTTGATTAAATCTCTGTTTAGCAATACAACATGTTTGCTTACAAAAATTAAGGTTCGGTTTCTCCTCTTCAAATAATAAATATTTATTTTTTTATTAAATATTTCTTTTTAGTTTTTAATAATGAGTATTGAATCTATGTAGCATTTCACTTCCAAACCGGATATAGCTGATATTTTTTCTTGTTGGCTTCCTCATTTGCTGCTTCAACCGGGGCCCTCCCAAGTTCAAGATTAGAAACCGTAAGAAACTATTTATTTATCCTACTCATCTTCAAGATTAGAATTACCATTAATGCCATTGGTTTGTCACAAGTGGTGTATGCTCCGTTAGCGTTATCAAGGGCATATGGGTTTGACTAGGCTAAAGAGAGTGTGTCTCTGATTCCGATTTGTGTTGCAACAAATATGGAAAAGTCAAGATTCCTGCAGGCATTGTCGGATGTTGTATCGGGAGTTGACATAGAGGGATTGAAGAGTTGTCTGAGGTTTGCGGGCGGAATCATACAATCCAAATATTGTTTCAATCAATGCAAGCGGTAATTGGATACATATTGATCAGTCATTTCTGGCTATATTCTCCTGCCTGAAAGTCTCAAAATGTGATCATATAATGTTACTTTTTTTTTTTTTTTTTTTTTTTTTTTTTAAAGTTAGGTTGTTTTGGAACTAATGTATGGTATATTTTTGTGATGTTTAGGGAAACTTGAGCATTTAGACTTGAGGCTAAACCCATTATTCAACAAACCAGATATTGCTTCTTTGTTGGTTGACCAATGAT